TTCCTTAAAAGTAGTTGCTGCAAGACTACCACCTCTGACAAGTAGCCAATCAGTTCAAGTGCTTGCCAACTACTCTATTCATATAAGAACAGCTCAGCTGTCACTTCTATCTTCTTCACTTGTATATCAAGTAAGAGGACTTTAAAGAAGTTTTATCCTACCTTGAGCCTTCTGTAATTGAGGCCATAAGGGGACCAGAGTTTAACTAGTATATAATTATACCAGGTAGCAGAGAGTAATTTCTGCTTTAAATAACTTTCAGCACAGTGATAGTACTTGACACATCCATTGGATACCCCAAGTTTCATACACATAGCTGACATAGGAGGTGAATTATTCATTTCCCAGGTTCAAAACATAAGACTACTTTGTAACTGGCACGAGACAATCAAGCAAATGATATATGAGAAGGTCATTACATATGAGGCAGTTCCGACTGAGTGGTTTAGCACCATGGAAAAATTGCTGACGCAGGATAATGTGGTTGCCAATTCCACTGATGATTTAGAACAAGCTCCCAATGAAACTACAAATGAAGCTCTGGACCTGGCCCTGGATGATCATGAATCTGATGGTGAGCAGAATGATGGACCACTGGAAGAAGATGTCATCACAGATGATGAGGCACAGTAATTTTGATGGTGCTTGTGGAGAAACCCTGATATACTTGATTTTTTTCTGTAAAAGTTGATTATGTGTCATTTATCTCCCTTCTCTTTGTGTTCTTCCTTCTCACCAAATTAAAAATATCTTTTCCCTATTATTTCAAAGTATTCTTGAATTTATGTCCATTCAATGATTGAAATTGACATGGGTAGTTTGTTTCTGAATTTGATAATAATGGAAATTCTCCCCAAAGAAGGAGTGTTGGTTGATGATGAGTGAGTATTATGAATAAAGGATTAAGTAATATTAGATAATCCCCACTGAAATTTTGTTTATATGATCAAATTGTTTGGAGAAACTTATGTCCATTGGTGGAGAGATTATGTAACAAAACCTCCAATGATCTCAGCAAGAACTTATTCCACCTGGTACTTGCTGAGATACACTAGGTGTCTTAAATAATTTGTCGCAGTGTATCTGAACAAGTACTGGGTGGAATAACAATGTTCCCTAAGGTATCTCAGCATTTACTGGGTGGAATGACATCAAACCAAAGGATGAAACAATCTGTTTTATGATAAAGATACTACTGAAATGTGCCCTAGTGTACCTCAGCAAGTACTGGGTGGAACTAAATCACACAAAAGGTTGAATCAAACTTTTTTATCATAAAAGAGATTGATTCAACCTTTTGTTTGATATAGTTTGACCCAGTACTTTCTGAGATACACTAGGGCATATTTCAGTAGTGTCTCTATTATTCAAGCACACCTAGTGTATCTCAGCAAGTACTGGGTAGAATTACATAAAAAAAAGTTTTAATCAATCTCTTTTATGATAAAAAAGATTGATTCAACCTTTTTTTGATTTAATTCTATCCAGTACTTGCTGAGATACACGAGGTGATTTCGAATAATAAATAGAGACACTACTTAAATTTGCCCTAGTTTATCTCAGCAAGTACTGGGTGGAACTACATCAAACAAAAGTTTGAATCAACTGGTGTATCCCAACAAGTAATCGGTTGAAAAAATATTGTACATTTCATTGTATTTATCATGTGCCTGTAGAAGTGAAGACATGACATGTAAAAATTTCCTACTTTAGTGTGAAATAATCCAAAAAGAGTAGTCAGTTATTTCTCAGCCATCCTTCCTAGCCTAAGGACAAGATGATAAATCTGTATCAGTTAAATCTCAATATGAATTTCCCTGTATTTATCATGTGCCCATGGCCTGTAGAAGTGAAGATATGACATGTAGCAATTTTGTACTTCAGTGTATGTACTTCACAGCCAGTAGTCAGTTATTTCTTTGCTTCAACATCCTTATTCTGAGGATACATTCTTGTAAATCTTGTATTTTATTGATAGTTAATCCCCTCTTGAATTTCATCAATTGGGAATAAATGTGCAAGGTGTGTCAGGTGTGTGAGGTGTGTCAATTGTGAGCATACCTTTTTTTAAGGTTTAGGGTATTCAAAATTGGTTTTTGAACTAAATTCCACATAAAATCATTAATTTTTCAATAAAATCAAGCAGTATTCCTAGTAAAGGGAATGTCCCACTTTCATGTGATTTGCAATTTGGTCATGTTTGGCTGATTTTATCTAGAATGTGGTTTGAAAATCAATTTTGAATACCACAGTTGTAGATGCGTGTCACAAGAGGATTTGCATTCAGGATCAAAATTTTAAATCACCTTCTGGTGAAAAATTTCCACCAACATCTTCCATTCTCATTTATTGTTTCATTTTAAAATTCCTCCAAAACAAGATGATGAACAGTTACCCATATAGTCTGAATCTCCCCTGCAACACCCTTCAACTTTTTGGAGCCTTTGGAGAAGTCCCTTTACTAGTGAGTAAATAACACTTCTCTGAAATATCCACATTTTCTCTTCTACTGGGATCAAAACCACCCCTGTCCAACAGGCCCCAGTTTCTTTTTCCAACTTGTGGCAAGACACCTTTAAGAGGGATCCAAACCATCCCTGTCCAACAGG